GTGGCTCCGTCCGTGCCCGGGGCTGCCAGGGAGCCGCCCCCCAAGTGGTGCTGCCAGAGGGGCCCCCCTGGGCCAAGCTCTGGCCCTTCCTCGGAGGGGGCTGAGCTGTCTTTTTCTTTTTAAAATATTTTTATTGATTTCAGAGAGAAAGGGAGTGAGAGACAGAAACAATGAGAATCTTTAACCTGCTGCCTCCTGCACGCCCCCTGCTGGGGACTGAGCCCGAAACCCAGGCCTGTGCCCTGAATGGGAATTGAACTGTGACCTCCTGGTTCATAGGTCGATGCTCAACCACTGAGCCACCCGGCCGGGCGGGACTGAGCTTTCCTGCTGGGCTCCCCGAGTTCAGGCCTCCCTGGGGCCTCTCCCACCGCGGGAGCCTCATCCTCTGCTCTGGGCCGTTAATGAAATGTCAGGAGGAGGCGAGACATCACAGGTCCCAGGCACATCTCACACCCTGGGCGAGCCCAGATCCTACACACCCAGCACCAGGCCTCGGCCACACAACCTGACCCGCGTGTGTGTGCACATGTGTATGCACATGTGTGTGCATGTGTGTACGTGTGCACGTGTGTGTGTGTGTGTCCACCTCAAAGACGCTGGTCCGAGGGGGCCTCCTGCAGCAGGGCCCCCGGAGGCCCTGTCGCCCCTCAGGCCTCCCTCCCTTTCAGAGAGTGGCAGGACCCCGTCCACACTGGCACTCAGTTCGGCCCCCACCCCTGCCCGTGGCCTCCAGCCAGTGGAGAGGCCCCGAGGCCGGGCGTGAGCACCGGGCTCCCTCCCGCATGGCTGCCCGCCACCTGGGCCTGCGACAAGGCCACTCCACTCGCCTGGCTCCCCCAGGTCAGCCAAGGCCCGACCAAGGCCACCAACAGAGGACAGGGCCCACGGGGCCCTCCGATGCCTGCTGGCCATCCAGGGGCCTCGGCTCCTGTCCATCCAGGGGCCACGCAGGGCGGTTCGGACGGGAGGCCCTGGCCCCTGCCCGGCTCACATCTGGCGCTGACATGGGACACGCTGACCATCAAACCTCTGGCTTCTCACTCACACAGATGGCAGGGGGAGTGGGGGGCAGAGCCTGGAGGTGATGGGCGGCCCTGGAGGAAGCCGGTGCCAGGGGTGGATGGCTGCAGGGAAGGACCCAGGCCTAGTCCCCAGGGCACAGCTGACTCCTGGGCTGGTCACTGGCCTGCAGAGCCCCCATGGGTTTCTGGCCCTGGGAGGTGGGGGGGTGGGGTGGGCCCACAGAGCACGTGGCTCCTAGGACTGTCCAGCTGGGCCCGGCCCAGCCAAGGTGCAGTCTGTGCACCCACAGTGCCCTCTGCTGGGGGTAGGGGGCAGTGCGGGCCCCAGTGCCCAGCAGGAAAGCAGAGGCCAGCGCGAACTTTCCGGGAGCTGCTCAACATGCAAACCACAGGTGAGAGCAACGTCGGGACGGCCATGTGTCGACATATGAAACGCTACCAACGAGGCTCTCACATTCTGCGGTCCCACTGTGTGCACTCGTGTGCGCCGTGCCCTCCACGCGTCCGTGTGGACCAGCCGCACTCGGGCTCAGCAGCCCCCGCAGCCCGTGGCCCCGAGTGGGCAGCAGAGGAAGGGCTCTCTGACTCCCACGTGATGAAGAGGGCGGCAGAAGGAGCGGGAGGCTGGCCAGGGGGCGGCCAATGCCCAGCCGTCACCGCTCTCACCAGTCACCCAACCTGCTGGGTGAGACGCCGGAGCCTTCGCCTTTTCTCTCCGCCTGACGCACCCACTCAAATCCGTCCTGGGGCTCGAACCCGGTGCCAAAGCCACAGTCTGCTGGGAAGGCAGCCCGGCCGGCCTCGGAGGACCCAGCGGTGCACCCCCACGTGGGAGGAACAGCCCCCTTTATCTTGGACGACCTACAGGAATTGCGGGGGGCGGGGGGCAGGTGCCGGCCACGGAGGTGCTCACCTGAACTTCCCGGTCCGCACTTGCAGCGCTCGCATCCCGCACCGCTGCGCCCCGCCGACGTCGCCCACAATGTCGTCTCCGATCATGACGGCCTGTCACACAGAAGCCACGCCAGGGGTCAGTCCTTGTTTGACATCAGAAACTGCTTGATGCTTAAAATCACCATCCTAGCCTGGCTGGTGTGGCTCAGGGGTTGAGCTCCGACCTATGAGCCAGGAGGTCAGGGTCCGATTCCCGGTCGGGGCACAGGCCCGGGGTGTGGGCTCCATCCCCAGTGTGGGGCGTGCATGAGGCAGCCGATCCATGAGTTTCATCAGTCATGTTTCTGTCTCCCTCTCCCTTGCTTTCTGAAATGAATTTTAAAAAGAGAAAAACAGAATTTCTCCCCCTTACGAGGACACCGGTGGGCGTGGCCCAGGCAGTGACATCGGGACCTGGGCCCGGGAGGGAGGACTCTGGTGGAGGAGCCGCAGCTGGGATTCTGCCTGATGGTCCGATGCCCAGGCCCAGGCCAAGCCTGGCGCCCATGTGAGGCTGGAGGAGACCGGGTGCGGGGCCTGCCGGGCACGGGGCCTGCTGGGTGCGGGGCCTGCCGGGTGCGGGGCCTGCCAGGGCCTGCGGGCGCAGCCACGGGCAGCGATGTCTGTCTGGACAGCGTGCGGCCCGAATAGCAAGCGCGCGGCCCTGGGGATTTCACAGTGTTCCTGGCGGTGAAGGGCAATCATCGCACGCGGAGCAGCAATTACTGCCCAATTGCTGAGGATTTAGAAAATCATTGGTGAGAAGATAGAGGTCAGGAGGTGCACCGTCGGGGGAAATACAGCT